CTATCAAACCTTCACGAATTATTGTACATGGCAGAAAAGTATTGTGAGAGTAAGAACTACCAAACTCATGAACAGAGTCACAGAAGGCACACAAACAGGTAGAATGTTAACTAAAATTAATGGAACTTTGACTCATACCAAGTAAACCTTAGAACTCCTGTAAAGATGGTAGATTTGTGTTTTCCTCACATTTCCATTTATCTGTAGTGCTGATTTTGGAATGTCAAGTGTCCCATCAAGTGTTCTTTATTGTTTCAAGTGGCAAAGGTTCATTTCCTGGAGTGGAGTGAAATGGCTATGCTCTTTAACTTATTCCTTAGGTTGCTTGATATCCCCTACACCCACCCATTTTAAAATTTGTATCTTGTAATTGTTCTGCTTTATTCATTTGCTTTTCCATTTGGTATTAGTCAGCACTGGTAAGAAAATGTGGCCTCCCCCCCCCTCCCCAAGAGCCTGTGTTTCCTTCTGTCCTGCTGTTTGCTACTGATCATACTTCATATGATTGTTATCAGTGCTTCACATTTCTAATCAGGCATCACATTTCCATTGAGCTTTCCTGACTATTGAGGATACTGTCTGTCTTCCAGTTGAAAGAGGGCATATAGTATTTTTAAGAGGCTCAGTTTTTTTAACGTTATGTTTTGTTTAGTTACCACAGTCCTGTTTGTAAATGCAGCATGAGGAAATGTTTTTTGTAAGATGAATTGGTTGAGTCTGCACATGCAATAATTAAAAACCCCTCCAATTAGGAATAATCTTTATACCTTAATATATCGTACAGCTTCATTACACAAATAGGATTAAAATGTACCATTGTTTCTTAAAATGTCAGTTTCTTGTTTTTCTAGTCACTCATCCAAAGCCTTTGATATTGTTTGACTTCTTGATTCTTGTGTTAACATTAATGCAAATCTCAAATGGATTATTATTTGAATTAGTAATGCTATAATATTTTTAATTCCACATTAAGAATTATTCAATAGTAGTTCTTAACTATACCACACATTAAACTGCTTCAAAGAAGTGAAAGATTGCAGTGATCTGTATTGAATTCAAATGTAATGGGAAGATAATGTGAACACTTATTAAAACAAGTGCTTCTATACTTAGGAGGGACCTTCTGTTATCTCTGGAAAATTCCAGACACACTTGCTCTGAACGTCATCTGAAGTGCCACCTAGAAGTGTTGTCCATAACATTGGCCAGAATATAAGTGGAAGGCTTTCTAGCAAATGTGTTACTGACTTTAGTGCATGGTTTTAAGGAGTGGCTCCCTTTACCGAGATGTGTATTAGGTTCTTCAACAGTACTTGTTAAGATTTTTAGCTAGTTTATAAGCATTTAATGTGAGTCATCCCTTTGAAAAAAGTTCTGTTAAGGAAGTGGATTGGCTCCAGAAGTGCTGTAAAAGAAATGGGGGCTGACAGAGAACACAGAAGCAAAACAAAATGAGTTTCTTTCCTCACAGATTGGTTAGCATCACTGTGTTTGTTCTAAAGGGGAACACTCTCTGTAAAGTTAGGTTGATGAGGAAATGGGGAGCTGACTGGAGCTAATTAAGTCAAAATAAACACGCAAAGAAAACTGAAGTTGTGTGTGGTTCTGTAGATTATGTACAATCTTCAAAGTCAGTCTGACAACTGCTAAATGAATTTTCACCCAAACAGTGCAACTCAGAAGACCATTATGATATGTTTGCCTGCTGTTTTATAGAACACAAAGTTGTCTGTTGAGCTCTGATTCCAGAATATAAGGCATCTGGATTTCTTTTGTGCTGTCATCTATGTTGGCCAGGCCCTCCACAATGTCATAGCAACCAAGGCTCTAATGTTCATAGAGCAGAGTAACTACAACATACATATCAATAGAATCCATTTCTCCTCTGGATTCTACAGGCAGTAGCCACAAATAGCAATGTGTGCCCAAATTAAAAGCTACATACATGTTTTATATTCAGGAATCATATTCCAAGTACAAAAACGAGGAAGCCTCAAGAAGCCTGCTTTTTTGTATCAGTGCTTTAGCATGGGCACAGAATTAGTTTATCTGAAACATATGTATAATATTCAGGCTGTTCCTAATTCCCATACTCATTAAAGAGTCTAGATAGACAGCTCAGTGGTGATACTACAACTACTGCAAAACTCCGTACTATGATGTTGGAGCCTGATGGAAAGAGTTGTAGTTGCTGCAGCAGGACATAATTACTAGAAGTACTGTTGACCTTTGGAGCCTCAAAGTGAGGTTTCCACGTAGAAAATGTATGCTATTATACCAATTTCCTCCCACCCAGTTGGGGAGAACTGGATGAGAAATTAAGGTAACCTTGTGCCATTTGCCTCAGTTCATGCAGTAGCAGGAGTTTTGGAGATTTATTATCCTTACAATTAAGGAATGTGTGCTGACTTCCTTCCTGGCTTTGATGCAGTCTTAGTCTCCTGCTTCCTGCTCTTCTCTCAGTAGTCCTGGATATAGTTTATCTTTCTTTTCTTTCAGAGATTCCTTTAGATCACGGTGGACAACTTCAGGAGGTCCAGGGGCCATAAATGACTGTCCCATCTTGACCCCCACTCCAATTCTAATAACCATTTTTGTACTCAGATATGCTATGCCCTCTAGGAAACATGGGGCAGTTTCCATTTGTGGCACTCTGAGCTGTTTTAGGCCCAGAAGTACCTATTTTGAAACAGGAATTGGCCAGAAGGTGCTTCTGGTTTCCATAAAAGAGCCCTACTTAGTCCTAAAACAACTCAGAGGGTCAGAAATATTTTGGAACTGCTCTCTTTCCCTTCTAAAGGGTGAGAAGGGATTGTTGAATTAAAAATATAACTGGGGTGCTGTGGAACTACACAGGTCCCATGAGATTTCTTGCAATCTATGGCCATATGTTGCATACCCTTACTTTAGATACTTCAAAACTGTTCCAATTATATATTTAATCACATTTTTGTTACCAGCTGTGTCTTTTCCTTCACACACATTATATTCATGTTCCTTGATGTTTTCTATTTAAGGATTCAAATTAAAAAGGCCCAGTCTTGTAGTTGGTCAGAGTAATTTTGTATTGTGCAAACAAACTCAAACACACACCACACCATTATGTTGTGATTTTATGTATTTACGTATTGCTAAATAATTTATCACTATATTAGAGTCCACAACCATTGCAGCAACAGTTGGCAGGTTATTGCACTGTTGCCTCCTGTGGAATTCTTCTAAATTATAGCTTAATGAATGAATTACAGTACCTATTTTTTAATTAAAGCCTATCAAATGGCAGTCTTCAGTATTTCGGACAAGGCAAGGTATAGCACATGGGTTGTCTGCAACCTTTGCAGCATCCACAGGGACCCCAAACCTGACCCTAACTGGAATTTTTTGAAAAAGAGCTTTTATTTTTATTTTTATTTAAAAAAAAAAAAAGCCCCCCCCCCTTTGTGTCCCCTAGGAAACATGGAAGCAATTTTGGCATATTTTGGAATGTTTCAGCATTGGGCCTCATCCTTCTATTTGTAATTTTAAAAAAGTTGTCACTAGAGTGTGAGGGAGATTTATGTATTTTAGTAAGAAAAAGAAGAGGAATGCCTTTTTAAAATGAAAAATGTTTTGGCAGCAAGTGGAGCACTGGCGAGCATGCGGCCCCTTCCCCCACAAAGATTGAGGGCATGTCTACCTTCAGAACTCAGGAGATTGCCTGCTGCTGATCACTGTTTATAAAATCCAGAATAATATAAGCAAAGAAACATGTTGTGAGAATTCAGAACGATGTGTTAGATATTAATCAAAAGTGCCTTTGTTCTGTGCACCATTAACTTAAGTATATTTATTATCGTTATTTTTTTAAAAAACTTAGATACAAGTACTGGAAAATTGGTTTGGAACAAGGAGCAAAAGCAATTAATCCTGATCACTTTGAAAGAAAGTGGCAAACACCAGTTAAAAGAAACATTCAAATGTACTTCTCCATGTACAGTATCTCACAAAAAACCCTGTTTTTTAACTTCTCCAATTCCTCATATGAAAAGCAGTAGATTTCAATGTATACACTGCCCTCCCAAATAAACCCCACACAAAGGGCTCTTTGTTTAACCAAAGAGGGACACTAAATTATTTCTTCTAGTTTTCTCAGTAAGTATGCCTTACATTCAACATTCCAGGTGGCATTTTTTCCAAATATGCCTGTGTATTGGGTTGAAAGTATACATTTGTTTTAAAACATTGTAGAGTTACATCCAAACATTTCTACTGATTTGTGTATGACAAGGGTTTGGCGTAATCTCTCAAAACAAGGTAGCTTGGCTGGCTGCTGGTAAGATAATGGTACTTGCGGCAGAAAGTTACACTGCATGGAATTGAGGATTAAGGTGTAAATCTGATGTGTGTAACAATTCTTTCCATTGGTGTGCATTTCCATCTTCTTTTGAAGTATGCCTAGAATTAGAAACCTCATGTCATTACCCAGCATCAAACACATTCTTTTCTTTCTGTATTTAACACAAGTGATTTTTATCACTCATCATAAAATTAAAGTCCAAGAATGAGAATTGTTTTTATAACTTCCTACTTTCACTGAGCTGTGTTATATAATACAGACCGACAGCGGCATTGCCGATAAATGCAACATGATTTATTTGTGCCTCCAAAGAATAATCTGGTGCATTATTCCACTGCATTATGCAACAACAGAAGCTGTGTGTAATTCTCCAACTAACTCCACTTATATCAGAGTGTAAAGCAGGAAAACACCAGTGGAAACTTTGCAGATTAAAACTTCTGTAAACAGCTGCAGTTATAGGTCATGTTCCAGTTTCATTTGTGACGAGCAAAAGGGGGGGCAGGATTTGTTCCTTTTAGGCCTCTGTAAAAATATTCTGGAATATATTTCTGTCAATTAAACACAGAATGTTTTTGAATTTACAAGTTCTTGCAGAGGATTATTTATTTTGCTTTTTTTTAAAAAAAATGGTACTTGTTTCCTTTTGTACATTTTTATACAGCTTCTGAGTGGATCATCTCACCAGAGTTACGCAGCCACAAGCTTTCAGGATTACAATAACTGGGAGTCCCTGATGAAAATCAAAGAAGGGTTGTTAAGGCAAAAAGAGATTGTGATTGATCGGTAAGTAAATCCACTCTTTTCTCTGAAATTGCCTTGTAAAGGAGACGAATGTCTTACAGACTGTTTTTGACATGTTGCTTTCCAAAAATATAAAAATGTATGTTAACTGCTTTTCAAAAATATGCAAGACAAGTAAAAGTATTTATGTTGATTAGGCCTTGCGCATCATGAAAAAAGCTAGCTGATGCTCAGTGGTGTGGGAATTACTTGGAAAGGGGCTGAAAATAAAATGGAAGTATTATAATGCAATCCTATAACTGTGATTCATTTTTTTTTCATATCTTGATTTCAACAAGGTTATCGACCACCAATCTAAGATAATATCTTGTTCTGCCAGTTCATCTTTGTTCTTTAGATTAAAATCACTATCTAATATCTCGGCATATCTCCTGTTTGTCCCTTGAGATGTTCTTGCCGGATCAGGGAATGCTTCTAATGGAGCTATCCATAAGGATATCTTTCTATAATGTTGTGCCTTAACTAACTGTCTTCCAAACCCATAACAGAGCTCTCCTGATCAAATGTAAATTAAATTTTTTGCATTGCTCATCATCTTAGTACCATAGGTAGGCATGCCAGCCTAGCCTTAAATCATGCCCCTCAATTTATAAAAGTCTCCCATTTTGTAGAATAACCCATTCCCTCACCCAGGACAGAGCTGCTGCTCTGTAACAATTCATCCAGTCTGGTAGGCCTTACCTTCCTCTTTGTTTATTGTCCTGAAGAACCTTGCTTTATTCTTGTTTTTTTCCCACCCCAAACATACTTGGTCGTTATCTTATTCAGTTCTCAAAAAAATTTGTTTTAATAATATTGGAATGATCTGAAAGAGGAAAACTAGTTTTGGTAATATATTCATTTTTATTGCATTAGGGATAATTGGAGTTTAGACCATTTCTGCAAATCTACTTTGATTTCTTTCATTACTTCCATATAATTGTCCTTTATTAATGTACTGGTTTTTTGTCATATTCATTCCTAAGTAATTAACCTTACAGGTTTCTTGACACCTGGAGGGTTTTCCTAGTTCTTCTTTTTCCTCTTTTGTCATATTTTTCATCAGAATTTTTGTTTTTTGTTTATTTATTTTAAGACCTGACATACATCCATATTCAGTTATTGTCTCTACTAATGTTTCTATTGATATCATAGGTTCTTCTAAGATTATTACTAAATCATCAGCATAGGCTTGAATGTTCAAATCTTCTCTTTTAACCTTTAATTCTCTTATCCTCTTTGATTTGTTAGTTCAGGACTTCCAATGTGAGAATAAACAGTAGGGGGGACAGCGGGCATCCTTACTTGTACCTTTTTCAATTTGAATTGTTTCTGTCAATAAAGGACAAGAATGGTAGGTACCTCACAGAAGCAGAAGGCATCAAGAAGAGGTGGCAAGAATACACAGAGGAATTATACCAGAGAGATTTGGATGTCCCAGAAAACCCAGATAGTGTGGTTGCTGACCTTGAGCCAGACATCCTGGAGAGTGAAGTCAAGTGGGCCTTAGAAAACATGGCTAACAACAAGGTCAGTGAAGGTGATGGCATTCCAGTCGAACTATTTAAAATCTTAAAAGATGACACTGTTAAGGTGCTACACTCTATATGCTTGGCAAGTTTGAAAAACTCAGCAGTGGCCAGAAGATTGGAAAAGATCGGTCTACGTCCCAATCCCAAAGAAAGGCAGTACCAAAGAATGCTCCAACTACTGTATAATTGCACTCATTTCACACGCTAGCAAGGATATGCTCAAAATCCTACAGCAGTATGTAGGACCGAGAACTCCTAGAAGTACAAGCTGGATTTCAAAGGGGCAGAGGAACTAGAGACCAAATTGCTAACATGCTCTGGATTATGGAGAAAGCCAGAGAGTTCCAGAAAAACATTTACTTCTGCTTCATTGACTATGCAAAAGCCTTTGACTGTGTGGACCACAACAAACTATGGCAAGTTCTTAAAGAAATGGGA